TCCCTACACCTACCCTAACCCTACCCGATACTTTATTTTCAACTTTTTGATTATTTCCTTAATTTTTATTGAAAATAAATGCCTTTACGATGTGATACGAGATTTGAAAAGGGAGAAAAAAAAAGTTCGGCAAAAGGCAGGCTCGAACCCAGGTCGATCACGTCAAATAGCCAACGACAAGCGCTTATCCATCTGCGCCACTGGAGCTGATGTATTTTGTTTTCAGAATTGTGATTTGCTTTGCACTTCTCGGACACCGTACCTGTCTCCTCGTCAGCACATCTGAGTATCACCCTTGTGTTTTCACCATGTTATCATTCAAGACTGTTCTGTTATCTGTTCTGTTATTAAATGGTGTATTTGTGTTAAATAAACCCTGTCTTCCTGAGTTCTTTTTTACATACATATTTTCTTTACATCATACATAGTTGTGATTGTATGTACACATCTTTATTTACTTTTTACATTTTTAATAGATTTTAAAAAGTTTCTCTTTTTTTTTACAAATACCATAAACTGTTCATTCATAAATTTGAATATTCTAAAATTAAGCGAGTTATTGACCTTGACAGTCATAGGGGTCTGAAGGTGTCCCCTTCTATGTTATAATTGCCTGTTTTATGTTTTTTTGCAAAGGTTTTTCCCGTATTGTTGGAGACACAGCCTTGCGGGCAGCAGTCTGACATATGGTGCAGCTGTGCCTCAGGTTCAGCATGAAATTCTTTCTGGATCCTGAGCCTCTCTCTCCTCTTCCATTATTTACTGTCTCAACTTCATTATGCTATCTAATAAAGGCATAACTTTGTTGTTCAAATATGAATACGCAGTAAAGCCGTTTTGCTTAAAAAAATGTAAAAAAAAAAAAAGTTTGCCAAATGCAGTTTTTCTTAATAGAGAATTTAAAACCCCTTAACTGTCACCGTCCCACCTGTGGGATGCTTGGCGCTCTTTTTTTTGTTGTCCTTCTTCTCTATCAAATCTTTTAGTAATCATTATAAAGTATATATCATTTGAAAGCTTAGAAGCCCAAGATTCATCCTCTGAAAACCATTTTGAAATCGGACATTGCGTTACCATAGAAATGGTACTTTAAAATCTTTTGGCGGTCTCCTCCCCCTTAGTGGGCAGTGTCAAGTGTCATATTAGTAAAATGCATTACGGTCTTTTAGAATCAAACCTTTTTATAATCTTGACAAAAAACATCACTGGAAAGGTCTGAGTCTCAGGATTCCATATTTGGTGGTTATTTTGAGATAGAAATTGAGATACTAATATTTACAGAGAAATCTAGACATTCGTGACAGAAAAATGCATTAAAAAAAATTTAATGGAGTTTGGATGGCACCCGGTGGCTGTTTGTGGTATGACGCCCTAAATAAAATGTCACAGGAACCTCAATTTTTTTCATATCAACTTCAAATTTGGAACATAACTTATTTAGACATAAGGCTTTAATTTTATACCAATTTTAGAGTAAAACCTGTTATGTAAAATATTTATAATAAATTAAATAAAATAAATATAGTGCATTTTATTTACAGTACATTTAAACTTCTATAACTTTTTGATACTTTAATTTGCAATAATCTACTGATTTTCTTCTTTAAAAAGAGACCAGCCTTATGTCTGTATTCTAAAGTGTTAATAAATTACAACAATTTAAGTTTGGATAGTGCACTTTCATGCCTATTTTAAAAAATGGGGGGTGACAGTTAAGGGGTTAATTCTTATAATGAAGCTTTTTTTCTTCTTCAAAAAAAAAAAAACTAAACATTGCAAAATGCACTTCAACTGTAAATATAACAATAGGAATCATGTTCAGTTAAATATGTTTCATGGTAGAAATAAGCTTCCTTAAAATTCTAATTTAAATATAAACGCATACGTATTAGGGAGTGTGCTATAAAAGTTAAGGTAGTTCCATACAAGGGAAGCAGATAGTTGCCTGCTTTCTTTACTGAGCACATCACTTTAAAATGGATGTCTTATGAATATTACTGCCCAATAAGCATCACTGGACGGAAGACTAGAGAGGTAAGAGCTGACATCATCACAAAGCAACCTCTTTGAGATGTCATTTGTGTTGATACTGCACTCCTAGGCTAAAAATACACCAATTATGCAGTCTTAACTTACAGGGTGAGACTGACCTTACAGAATGCAAGAAACTGCAATTCCCAGGTGGCCAGATACATTGTGAAACAGCCCTGAGGTATGAAGATTTGTGTGGTAGCAGAGAAGACTTTTTACAAACTTTTCAAATGAATAAGTAGCTGTGGTTTTCTTGTGTTAGCATGTGTGTGTATTGTAGGGACTCTGTCTCACCTCCACAGCAGCCTTGGCTCGAACAAACTCCTCCTCTGAGTGTTGTCTCCCCAGTAAAGTACCACCCAGCTGGGGCCTCTGCCGCTGCACACACAGATGGTCACACACATGCAGAGAAGGTCAACCAGCAGTCGCTTTGTATCATCGTCTTTGTCCTCAGATCATGCTGAATAAGCAACCTTAAAATTATGGCCAATATTAATTTTTAGTATACAGTGGCCCCAAAAATCTGAACACTTAAGTAAATGAGACGATAAACTATCAAACCAAGAGAAATCTGCAAATAAAAGATGCTAAAATCTTTCATAAATAATTTGTCAAGAACTAACAAAATTTAATTGCCATATTGGGATTTAAATTTATCTGAATTCAGTGTGATTTTTAGTGGATGTGCGATGCCAGTTCCTCTCAAGTTTACACAGATGTTCTAGCAGAGTAACCACAGAGGATAGTTATTAAAGGTTGGGTAACTTTAGCCCCAAAATAAAAAAATATATATTACAATAGTTAAATAATAAATAATATTACATAAAAATTTTAAAATATACTACTCTACCAATTTCCTGCAATACCGCAAACAAAGTAGCTTTGTCTTAATTTTGAACAGTTAATCTATTGTTTTATCATGTAGAACCTACAAACATCTTTCTGTAAAATGTTTTCTTTCAAAAGTATGCTTGTGCTGTCTGTTCATTAAGATTGTGTTATCTAATGCAGTGACATTTAGACATTTTTTGGTATATTAAAGGGGTCAGATGCTTTTTTAAAGATCATTATTTTGTGTATTTGGGGTAACAGAATATGTTGACGCTTTAAAGTTCAAAAAACACATTATTTTTCAAATACTGTACATTATTGTAGGTCCTCTATGCCCCGCCTCTCTCAAACGCTTCGTTTTCTACAAAGTCCCTCCTTCCGACAAGCGCAGTCTGCTCTGATTGGCCAGCTGACCCAGTGCATTGTGATTGGCCGAACACCGCAAGCACTCGTTGGAAATGTAACGCCCCTTACCATAATCGCGAGCTTCATTATTCTGAGGCCACTGTATATTATTCCTGTACTCAGTTCTTCATTAAAGTTGTGGGCAATATAAAGGTTTAGTATGTAGTTTTGCTATGTTTTAATCCTTACTAGTATCTGAGAAATAAATAGAACATGTCTTGCACATTGAGTAATCAATACAGAAAAAATTGGCAAAAACATATTTTTGATACACACTCAGGAAAAGGATACATGAAGGAAAACATCCTGTACTTAAAACGAATGTATCTCTTTCCATTAACTGCACCGCATGGAAGGCTTTTAAGGTAGCATTCTGTAACTGTTACATACAAAGATGTATGTGTCTTTCCTCAGGTACCTCAGCTTACTATTTGGATTGGAGTACTTCCAGTATTTGATTTTTTTTCTAATGGAACAATTTTGTTCCCAGAAGGCCTTAGTGGGAAGGGTTTATACCATTTAAGTGCACACAGGAACAATTTTCTGAGTGTGAGGGGAGATGATGATCAATACTGAATGCTGCTGTAGTCTTTTACATGAGATTAAAGTATCATTAGTGTGTACCTGAGGGGCCGGCCCAGGGTCTGACTCCGTGCTAATGCTGAGCTCCAGGGCACTATGCCTGTTAGAGAAATCTGTTTTAAAGTCTGCAGACCTGAAAAGGATGAGATGCTGTGAATGATCTTACTGCTCGCAATAATGATAATGATACACAGAGGCAACTGAATTATTTAACTGAATTGAACAACTCAAATCTAACATCTGATACTCTTAAAATGCATTCTATTTCTTCATCTTTTATAACCAATAAGTAGATTTACCCCCAAAGCTCACTAAAGTCAGAGTGTCAGAGACAAAAAAAGAGGCCACTCAGGATTATTTGAAGAGAAAATGATAAAATATGTAGAACTGACTTAAAATGTTCAATTCCATTTATAATAATGGTATGATGTATTCAAGAACAGTTCTTCTAATATTGTTAGTGACACAGCTGTCCAAACGTGTTTAGCCTAACTACGTTTTAATGTTCTTTTTTAAATGGCTTATTAAATCTAATTGAATGGTGTTGGGGAATAGAAAGTAAAAATTCAACATGCTTTGTTTTTGTTTTACCCCAATATTAGTTATCGAAGCAGCATAAAGTTGCTCTTTATGGATCCAGAAGAGTTAAGCACACCCTGTGACTACATTAAACACTAAATATGGAAACATACTGTATCACGCCTGGTTAGGACACCATGATAACTTATGCACAATGAGGTGGAAACCTGACTGTACCACAAAAGCTCACTAGATGAATGGTTGGAGGTGCACCTCTTCCTCTCATATCTCCACTTCCGTCCTGCATTCAAGGCACTGTCTGGGTGAAGGCTCACCTCCTCCCATTTCTCCAAGGGCGAGCTGCTCACTGGAGACAGGACAGTTAGTATGGAGTGTGACAGGAAATAAAACTGACAGGCTGTCACAAACTCTGCTTTTAATTAAACAACACATTGGTGCAAAAGGTAGATTAAGGCTAACCAGCAGCAGATAAGGATACCGCTTACAGCTCAAGGCTTGCCTATCTCAGCCAGGCTTTAGCCTGCAGCTCGCAATTGATTAAAGCAGTTGGGCTGTGGAATGATAAATATAGTACAACAGGGAAAACATGGCAATGGTTTAGCTTACAGAAGCTTAAAGCGTAATCTACTGGAAATGAACTTTACAGTGCAAGTTGTTAAAGCTTTCCAGAGGATTAAAATAAGCCAGTGTAGCGTTTCATTTGAAACCATTTCTAGCATAAGCTTGAGACAAACAAAACTAAAATAAAATAAAAATAAATACATTTCTACTTGGGGCATCAGTGTCATGAAAGCCACAGTTCTGTGTGTTTAAACCATTTCCATAATTGTCCACCAATTCAGTTCCACTACTTTAAATCTAATAATATGCTAATGCGAATGCTAAAGTGCAGACTGCTTACTGATCAAGTGGCCAATGGGATTAAAAAAAATAGACAACAAAGGGCAAAAATTTAATTACACTGAGAGCCTGGATTAAATCAGCTGTAAGTTTAATCATAAGCACCTCTTAAATTGATTAAAAGAACTTTACACTTAAATCAATTTCATAAATGCAGGCCTTTTTATAGATTATAAGGGACAACTTGTCTAATGCGTTAGACGGTTTCATGAATTAACGTTTTGCTCATAGCAGTGTAGCGTCTGGACCAATCAGACACAATTTTTTTAGTTATATTGAACAAATACTCTGTAACACCCCTCAATCAACAAACCAACTATGAGGGTCTATGGACCCTTCCCCCAAAATGCATCTTAACACCTCAGAAAGGCAGAACAGGCCTCTGGTTCCATGACAACCAATGCTGATATCACTGGTTTTATTGCCCAAAGGAATGCGGGCAGAGCAACTCACAATTCATTTACCCTTAGAAAAGACACACAATGTCCATAAAAATGGACTCTTCTCTAATTAATTCATAGAAAAACCTTTCTGTGAATGAACACACGTCTCCTCAGGACATTGTGTATACCATTACTGTTCTTGTATATTGTCTTTTGAATTGTATACTGTTTTGTGTGTGTGTTATGATAGATCACTAGTTAATATAACCCCACCGATACCATGTTTGGTCTCTTTGAGTTTGTCTTCTGATGATCTAAACGAGAGTGTATATTATATGTTGGTACATAGGCAATATATGTGTTCTAAGAATCTTTAGTAATTTTGCATCAACACCTAATCGAGTTCCATATGCAAATTACCATGCTCTCACACAAAGGGTCATAAAACTCCCCAGTATTTCCAACCTCC